CTATTTTTTCTCACGTTCCTTTACACCATAAAGAGCATCTTCAAGCAGCGTCAAAGTCAAGCTTATACCACTCAACACACTCTCTCTCTCTCTCCCCATATATATATATATATATATATATATATATATATATATATATATATATATACATTAGTCTGTGCACTCTATTTCTAATCGATGAGTCGTGCGTTCGAGCCCAACTCCGCATACCAAGGTCTAGGCGATCAGGTATTATCATTAGCCATCACACAGTAAGTATGGGTCATAGCCTACTGCACGAACGTGAACAACGATGCTGAGTGAATTTCGATCATCCACCGGGAATCAGTTAATGCATGAAGAACTTCGTGAATAAAAGTGGAATTACTTCAGAAAAGGTATTCTGAATAGATTAAAATCCAGAAATAAGTCATAGAGATATAGACAAACACATAAAACCTTGAACATAAGTGTATCGGTTCAAGTTACTAAACGACACAACAGCATGCAAAGAACAAGTGAATCGAAAGAGTGGTATGAAAGTGGACACAAATGAATGAGCGGAAAAACTAGAAATAAAAGAAGCTTAGTGAAAATGCTCAATTATCCATTTTATTAGAAAACAGAATATTGCTGCTGATAGATAATATTAATGCCCATGCTTGAAAAGTATAAAAAATATTCGAAAACAATAGGACAAACACTTATCTAGAGATATGCTCTTCATAAACTCTACTTCTTGATTTCAATGTCCAAAGTTTATTTGCATTATACTTGGGCAACATTGTACATGATAAAGATTACCAAAACACATACCAGGTACATTTAAATGATCAGTAATATTTATTGGTTAAAAAGAGATGTTGAATTTTGCAACGCTCTCAAAATTCATCGAAGAAGTTTTGATACAATACAAATGATATTCCCAGACAAGTGTGGGCATCTATGAATATCAGGTAACTGAGTACATGATATTAATGATAATAATATTAACGAATACAACAATTGTGATCATTTGTTATGAAAGTAGTGTAACCGTTAGAATACTTAATTTTAAATCAGTTCAACAGTCGTCATGAGTAAGATATCATGGTTTTTATTAAGCTTCAATCTCTGGTCCTTTGATTCTGATAAGAATGTATAAGCCTTTGGAGTGCTGAACCCTGTTAGTTAAAACTAAAAACTACCATGTTCTTTAACCAATCAGCATTATTCTTTGTTTGAACTCCTGTTTTCTAAGGTTAGTTAGACGTATTTGTCAACAAGTTCTCCACATTATATAGGCAAACATGATTTAGATGAAACAGTTGATATCATGTGTCAATACTGCATCTTATTTTCTCTAAATAACTCTATCTATGCAATTAGAATATCATTCTACATTTCAGAAATATCTCAGAGGTCTAAAGCTATACCACCAATGATTTGTGAATTGTTAGTATGCAAGCATAGACACATACAAGTTAATTTGCCCGTAAACGAAGGAAGCCTCGAGTGTCCGACTTGAAATAAAACTAAACAATGAATGTATGACTTCGAAAGATCACAAAAAGAGGTATTTTCCTAAGTACAACTACTCAAAAACATTCAGAACTATAATTAGGCTAATGGATGGATTGAAGTAAGAAATGGAGATTATCTCTACAAAACTATCACCAAATACATCAATAGAGCGACACACTAAGTTTTCAATAAAGATACTAATTGTACATAAAACCGATTTTGTTTTACGTAATTCGACATTTCTGATACATCTTAAAGTGATAACTATCACAGATCACTAGTCGATTAAACGGAAATCGCTACTTCAACAATGTGTAATTAAATTCTCAATTATCATTATTCACCAAACTCAAGGATAGATAATTGAAATTTCAAAAAGATCTTGTAGTTGCTTCACATAAATGCACATATACTGAAATCAAAAAACAAACCCTGAGGATATAAATTGTGTCGAGTCATGAAGTGACAGGGACAGTTTAATCCAATAATTGTAAAGGTGATGCATCCAATCTACTTACTTGGATATCTTAAGTTTCAGACAAGATGCAATAACAAATGTGTAGCAACATAGATTGTAAAGCAGTTTTGCAAGGTCCTATGTTGACACCGACTGAATGACTGATTGATTGAACAGATGAATACTGAGAAACACACACAAAGTAATCTCTAGCACTAAGTACTCACTTCATACAGGAAAACCTTTGTGACTCACAGATATTTAATAACACTTTTTCTTGGCCAGTTCATAATTTACACAAAATTTTAAAAATTCAACAACACCCGAGGATATCCCATGGCGGGTGAACTATATACACCATAGAAGAAAACAAATTAGCAGGTGATTTTTACAGCTCACAAACTAAAAAGAAACCTAATAATTGCAACACATCACCACTGACATAGGTGAACGCAAAAACACACAATAAACTCACTGAATTTAAGAGGCAGAGACTGTTTAGAGAGAAGACAAGGAGTGAACTGGTAGTAAAAACTAACCAAACAATAGTGGAAGAATGAGGGCAATAAATAGAAAAAGGGTCACTACAATAAAAGTTGTCACCATTGTACTATAGTTAGAATGACCATAGAATAGAATGTAAGGACGCTGTCAAGAAAAAGTAAGTAGATTGTGTTTATTTTTTTAATTACTTATCATTATTCTCAAAATAAAATACAATAATTATCATTATTACTATATGATTAAGTAGCTTTTGTAAATTCCATTAAGTTAAACATAATCGAACGGCAAGTGCATTTGGCAGTCTTCTTCTCACAATGAGAGTATCACTTTCAAAATGTTTAGGTTTCTCATCCACCATTGCTAAACAACCACTGCCAGTAATAATTCCAATCGAAAAAACCAGAAGATAAGACGTAAATGACAGTAGTTTGTACCGATGAGGTACTTAAGCTTAGGTGTTTAACGCTGATCAAATCTATCACTCAAATTTTCAATAGTTTTAAATTTCAACCAGTTTTCAATATCTTCAATGAATACTTGAGAATATTCATGGACTTGGACTGCCCACCAGTTCACGAAATTCCATTATAACCACTGAATATTCGCTTCCACATAAGTCAATAACTTATACAGAATAAAGAGCCAAGCTGAAAATGCAATGTTTGTTTGTAGTAAAAAATTCTGATACAATATCCCAAACAAAAAAGTATTAATATTGACAACAATATTGATAATACCGAGTACTCACAAAATCATATACCATGAAAGTTCAATAAATTAATAGAAAAAAAGAATTTCATGGATGGAAAATCATTTGTGATTTTGATACGTTTTTCGGGAAAAAAACTGATTTCTCCCGGTAAGTAATCATGTCATCGATTTAATGATCTAAAATCATCTCTGAAGGGTTGATAACCAAATATAGGATAAAGTGAGTCGACAGACAGATACAGATAAAATCAACGTAGAACCTCCCATATATGTGCATCGGATCAAGTTGCCACACTTCACAGTAATATACAACGAACAGGTGGACAGAAAAGCAGTGACAGTAAAGTAGTCAAGGTTCTGTGAGTGAATAAACAAGTTGGAGAAAAATATTAGTGCAAATATCCAAGCTTTAGAAGATATAAAAGTGAATAAATCTGCGCCGTTGTAACCGATTTTCAACAATGTCATCAAGAGTAATCAACTACTGATTCCTATCGACTCGAGAATCCCCACACAATCTGCCGGTGCCAGAGAAAACACGAGTTGATAAATGCCAAACGGGCCTTCTGTATGCCAGCTGAGATTCCATCAGCAACCAGGCCATTTGGGCTGATGCAACCTTCTAAGTAAGTGAAGTGGTCGTCACATTCCACCACTTCAATCCCTAGCATTAGACTGGGAATAGCTGCAGAGCCCTTCTTGAGCATCATCTTACACGCGACAGGTGCGACAAGCACACCGAATATTCTCAGATTTCTGCCCGTGTTCATAAGACCCTCCATTATATCATCATCCTCACCTACAACGACAATAGTGTATCCATACTCAAAGTTAACCAGATGACCTCTGGAGGGTAGGTCAATCCCTGTGAAGTCAGACATACCTAAGGTTAAGTCCAGTAGTAGGTCTATAACGAAGTTCAATAAAAACGGTGACAGGAGGTATATCTGACGAACATCTCTAGTTGTCGGCGATTTACATGATAACTCTCTATAAGCCCTGACACAAATGCATGAGTTTGAGTAGAGAGCTTAGATCAACATCATATTCTTGCTCGGTACTGCACTCATGGTAACACTCTGTCACAAAAACTCAAGGTCGACAAAGTTAAATGCCGCCTTGAAGTCGATTAATATGGCGTGTCAAATACCGTCAGGTAGACCTGTAATCCAGAACCCGGCTAGACTGGGATGGTCAGTTAAGTAGACCAGTTTGATAGGACTACCTCGGGTTTCTCGAAGACCTCAAGGATACAGGGGAGAAAGTAAGGAGGAAGCAATCACACTAAAAAGAAGGTTCAAATAGGAATGAAACTTACAAATCCTCTTCATATCATAATAGTCTTGGTGTTCAACGTATTTATACATATAGAATTTACTACCCGTTATAATTCAGTAGTGTGACTTAGAAAAGCAAATTTGTCAAACTATTTGAGAGAGGAGAAATACCAAAAGAAATAATACTCATTAATAAATACACCAATATATATCTCAAATTGTTAGCGTAAAAACAATCGAAGTCATGGTCAAAAACATATCACATAAACATTATTAAAGTAATAAGTAGAACTTGAGAGAACTTTGAAAGGTAAATAAAAAGCACGCTTAAATAACTTTAAGAACAAACAGAGCATCATGAGAAAACAACTATACGTTAATGGTGTGGAGATAGTGTAGTTATTAAACCATTCTGGTGAACAAAACGTAAAGAACAGGGAAGTAACTGATGAAAAAGGGAATATTCGGAAAAAAATTGCTAAAATTCCTACATATTCAGAGTTATTTGCTAAAACACTTCTACAATAACGGACCACGTGATCATCTGGAAAAAAAAGATGAGGACTTACTAAATGTGAACTGTCCAACCTTTCTAAAGACAAGGGACCACTGAAAGCAGCGACAACTGAGGGGACTTGATCAACTGTCATCGGTTTCGACTTCGAAACCTAGTGGGAGAAATAGATCAACAAAAATATTGACATCGATAAGTATGAAGAGATGACAACAAACAATGTCCCTTAGATATAACAAGAAGAATAATGCCCTTTTTTTGTTCAAAGTTATGTTAACTAGAAAAATTCAACGAATGTTTGGCAACTGTTTGGTTTTATTAGTTCGATTTTATTCAGGTTTTTAAGTTCACTTCCTAGTCTAACCGATGAACCTGGGAAATGCGTAGCACTCATATGCTATGTTTCAATACTGAAATACAAACATTGTTGTATAACAAAATATTTCTTTAACGTGATAGCACTTCAACTATTTTACCCTTAGTAGAAATAAAAAACGTATCTTTCTGGAAGAAACTAGAAAATTTTCAAGTCAACAGGGAGAATATACACAAAGAGAAGGTGAAAAAAGCGGGATATATCAAACAGTAAAAAATATGTCCTTCTTCAGTCCACAATCATATGGTCACTTACTAATGAGCATATTCTAGTCTTCGATAAAATGAAGAGCAAACAAATCGTAATTAGGCTTTTACAAATCCACATTAACGGTCTAGTCAGACAACATGAGCATTCATTGTCAAAAAAATACCCTAACATAGGTATGCAGAAATAATTAGTTTTATAAAAACAAAGCACATTATAGTGTTATTGCTTGTATTACACCGTCGTTGATTGGATCGAATGGATCAGTCTCTGTTGGCATATAGGCTCCTGTGCGCATGCCTCCATATTGCCTGTGCTTCAATTATGTATAGTAATGATGGGCAGTGACTAGCAGTGGGATCCAGGATGCGCATTTCGTCCTCTATGGGACTCGTCAGCTGGATGTACCTGCCTCCGAGTGAGTGACGTTGTTCCCACCGGGACTCGAGAGCGATCGTTTCAAACGCGAATGTGCTGTCCACTACACCACCGAGCACGGTCGCCGCTTCTTGTGTGACGGGTATAGGTTTAGTGTTATTGCTTGCATTGATCAACGGCATTGTAATACAGGTAACATTAAAACTGTACCCGTCGCACAAGAAGTGGCTATCGTGGATCGGTGTAGTGTGTAACGCTCTGGCATTTGAAACATTCGCTCCCGAGTCCGTGTCCCGTTGTGAACAACATCACTCACTGAGAGGCAGGTACATCCAGCTGACGAGTCCCAAATAGAACGAAATGAGCATCCCACTGCTAGCCACTGCCCATCATTACAAAACACATTGTAGATTAAAAAACAGTGAGACAAAATGTAGACGAGGAAAACCTTGATAAATCGATTTGTGCTTTCCTGATTGCATGGGAAAGGTCAAGATAAGACACTACCTTGGTTGTGTTATGACCTATGAGCTGGGTGGTTTCATCACGATTAAACCACTTCTCTTCTCCAAACTTGTTAACATTGGGACGACATATATACAGATGAATAATGTGATGGTGAACGAAAAACAAAAGAATAAAAAGATAGGAGTGGAATAACATTTAAACATGATCTTTCCGAATGTATAGCTCAGGTCCGATCAACCTTGTGACGATAGCCTTAGCTATGTTGAGCAGGCGTTGGCAAGCTACATATGGTATTATTTTTGGAATGCGATTTATGATATTGAAAGCTTTATTAGCATCTGCGTGATGCCGTGTCTACCAGGTGCGCTAGAATGGAACTTTTCATTCCTTTCATTTCGCCCCTTCCGAACCAAGCGGTAAATGTTGTTGTATCTAAAGACACACCTGGCTAGTTGTGCGCCCTATGTAACTTATTACACAGGAACAGCCAAATTGATATATCCAAGATGAAGAGCTAAGACTAGGTAGGGTATCGTTTAGTCTCGAATTGAGGATTGGTTAACTATGGAAAAATACGCAAGCCCGATCTGTATAAAATGTCCTATTGACTGCTGTAGCTAGGCGTAATGGTTGAATGTTACTTAGAGCGTTCCCCTTGAATTGCAAATGCAGAAACAAAGCCTTCTTCTCTATTGTCATGAATTCTAGTTTAGGACAAATGTATTAGATGCTAGCTTTGACGAATTCATGCAGATATCCATTTTCACACAAAACGTCATGGATACAAAGTTATTCTTCGTCCACACACTCCTTGTTGATTTGTTTCTAGCTGAACTGTCTGGAAATGTGCCAATTTAAATTATGTTTCAACAAACAACATTTCAGACAATAAATCAGGACCCTATCAAGCTACAAAGTATTCAAGATTATCTAGTTATACACAATATGAAGAAAATCCAGAACACATAAGATTTTGTTCTTCTGAATCCTTATCACAGCAACCGAAATCAGATACACTGTTATCCAAGAAGCTTTGGCAAATCGTGTACATACTTCGTTAAAATGAGTGCTGAAAAGCACAAAACTCAGACCTAAGAATTCCTGGAAATTATCCCTTAATATTCAACCTCGCCTAGTTAACTAGGTCACTAGTTACTAGACGGTCCGAAGCCCGGATAAAGAGGGAAGGCTGGTCATAGGGTTAAGAACCCTACCCTGGAAAACCAATCCAATCCCTAAAGAAACTTCAAAGCACACAAAAATATAAAACATAAAGTTAAACTTATTCCTCACTCGAAACGGAGAGGCGAAAAGACGCCAGTTGGCGAAAGCCATCGTGAAAGCCAATCGGCCTACATTTCTTCTTGCTCTATGTCTCTCTCTCGATGAAAGCAAAACAAAACATAGAGACATGGAATGTCTGCACACTGTTTGAGGCTGGCCGGCTGGCAAGGCTGCCCACATTCCGAAAGAGATGAGAAACTATAACATGGAAGTGCTAGACTAGGAATCTGCGGAAGCAGATGGAATGGAAGTGCACTCTCCAGACTGTCAACTGGAGGGTCAATAATCTAATCCGATATTGTCACCAAGACAATAACCTCGAGCACACTGAGTTTTCGAGTGGATATCATGATATCCCCAACAGCATCGAAGACTCTCATGCAGTGGGAACCAATCGTCTCCTGCAGGATCAAAATCATGACTGCGACATTCAACACAAAAGTAACGAAAGTCATAATCATACAATGCCAATACAAAGCACCTATAAACAATGCAGATCAAGAAAAAAAGGAGGAACTCTATAGACAACCTCAATCAGTGTTGGACAAAACCCTACTCCAGTTGGCGACATAAAAATTCATTTTCATGGGTGGGGTGACATAAATGCCAAACTGGGAGCAGACAACACAACCAATCATGGGTCGACAAGCACTCAGTGTTATGAAAGAGAATTGAAAACTGTTTGCAGACTTCTGCGCATTCAACGATTTGGCGATTGGAGGCAGTGTGTACAAACACAAAGATATTCACAAAGCGAGAGACATGGATTCGATTTCACCAGACACCAGGAGATACTAAATATCAGAAAGACTTCATCTCAATCTCAAGAAAGTGGAGACACAGCCTACTGGACACAACATCGAGAAGGAGAGCAGATGTAGACAGGTTCACAACACGCACTACATAGTGCAAGGAACATACACACACTCTAAATCAAGTTGAAAGCCTTCACCTCAAAGACGCTGGTGACAGACCACAGTTCAAGTTCAACACCCAGAACAGAAACTGCACTCAAGGACGAAACTACAAAGGATATCTTCACCTCGGTCAGTCAGTCATCAGGGAAAGATAGCAAACATTAGGCAACATCCCAGAGGAAACCTACACCAAAGAACACTGGAACTCTTTGAAAGCAATATGGAAGCAAACCTGCATAACCGTGTTAGGAAGGAAGAAGAAAAAGAGGAAAGACAAGGAATGGGTGCAGTACAGTGCAGTGCAGTACAGTGCAGTGCAGTGCAAGGATGAACAACGAAAAGAGGAGCTGAAGACAACCAATAAAACACTACACTGGACAAGGAAGTGAAGAGGAGTGCACGGGAAAAGGAAATACATTTATGCGACACATTTCCTAGTGAAGCATGACAGGCTGCTGGTAGGAGAGACAGAAATCTGACAACATCATTTCTATCAAATAACCAGGTTACTCACTATCTGGGGAGAAGAGATCAAAGCAGATGAAAACAATGAAAGAAAGTGAAGGGAACCTAGTTAGCAAAGAGGAGAAGCAAAGGAAACGATGATCTGACTACTTCAAAAACTCTTGAATCGACCACCACCACCACCACCACCTGCCACTCGTCCAGAAATACCACCTGATGGTAAATAACAAGCATGCAACCTATTTCAAGAATACTTTGATGACTGGTACTGTCTGGTACTGTCTGATGTCAAATACGGTACATCACTGTGTTGTTCTGTATAACACTGCTTTGCTGACAGTTTCAAATGGAGGTTGAATTCATTGATTGAATAATCCCAAGATATTATTATAGTCGGTCGGGAAAGCGAGACACGCCTTCAGTAACCTGAAATCAGTGTGCAGATCTACTGCACTACACTACACCACACTCAGCACAAAGTGTGAACAAAATCCACATTTTCAACACATATTCAGTTTAGTCAGTGCTCCTATTTGATGGTTCGGAAACTTGACACCTTACGAAAAGCATTTCCAACAAACTACACATATACATCAACAGCCACCACATACGCTCAATCGATACTGAAGACCGGATCAGATGGCCAGAATAATAAGAATAGACAACAAGGAACTCACTCTGGCTGGCTGACAGGCAATGAACCAACCAGGAAGCCATCACCCAACACATATGCCGAAGGAGAAAGTGGAGGTGGATTGGATTGGTCATACACTGAGATGATTGATTGAGGACATCGGGCACCAGGCCAGGTGAGGCCAGGCCCAACCAGGTTTAAAAGTCTCCAGAGGACAGAGTGAAATGGAGACGTGCAACTGAAGCTTTATGTTCCATTAGGAACCCAAGGGAAAAACAATATTAGTGAATTCTTTAATATTCAACATATATCATTCGGTTATCTCCCACCTCGTTGAAAGATATGTGATGATTAAGAGGCTTTTCTTTCAATGCTCAAAAAACCAAACCTGTCTAACAAATCAGATGATAAATCATCAGTAAAAGTTACTTCTCTAAAATGAAAGAACATGTGAGGAACTTCAGAAGATTGTGAATTCACATTATATGCTAATAAATAAATAGAATGGAGGGATGACTAGCAATCGATCAGAACACATACATCAACAGTTAAACTAACTAATCATGTCCACTGTGTCACATGGCTAAATTCATGAGTAACATTTGTGTAAAAATATTCCTTTTGAAGTTGCAGACCCATAAAGAAGTTCATATAGTCTCTGTATTATCCGCCACAGATATTCCAGAGTACAAAGATTTCAAGAAAGTGGGTGGAAGTTCAATACTGTAAACAAAGATTTACACCAATCACCAGAAGCCAAAAAGTCAAAATTATGCCGTAAAATTATATTGTGTAGATGGAGGATGTATTCGAGTGTTTTCATAAAAGCAAATAATAAGTGAACTAAAAAATCACGTATGCCTATTTGCCTCGATTAAACAAACTAGATACAACATAGACACTAATAAATGCACAGTACAAAGTAACTCAATACTACGAAGCTAAAAAATCATAAGGGGTAAATAAACAAACGAAAGATTAAACAGTCAGCTGCGTTAAAAAAAGCTATCATTGGACCTGTGCTACTCCTCACAAATAGATGAAACAATAAAATAAATGACCACCAGTGGTTTTTATTTGCAATAGTATCTGATATTATCCCAAGTGATTCAGTTACATGACCTGTAAAACTCCACAAAGAGAGTTTTTAGGTTCAAAAAGATGTTCCGGAACACAACAACCCTTTATCCCACTTCGTCATTGACTGAAACCTTCATCTTTCAACCTAACCCTACTTCGACTAATACGGTGTTGAGGTGGGAGGTAGCTCGAAATGCGAAGCAGTCAGTACATCTTCATCACGTTATCAACTGGGTCTTTTCCTGTCTAGTACTATATACTTGACCTCAACATTGCTCATTGTACGATTGCGATACGCACGAGTAATGTTACGGAGACAATAATGATCAAAGTCAGGAGACAAGAACATCGACTATGAATTACTAATAAAAGCACGTTAGTGGTCAGAAAACAATAATTCAACTAACCTGATTTAAAACCTCAGCGAAATCGCCTAAAGATCCTAAGACAGGTTGAGAGTAGTTCGCAGCAGATAAAGATGACTGAGTTATTGCCTGAAGTTTCTCCAGTAATAAGGATAAAACTTTACTATCGAATCGGTATGCTAAGTTTTCGGTATCTATAAATTTGCATTGTTCGGGTGTCCAAAACGCACGTGATAGAAAGACACGTGGGAAGGCAAAACTGTATAATATATGAATAACAGAAACTAGAGGTATATTGATCATTGATAAACTAAGATTAATTACTCTTCAAGTATAACATTTTAGTATAACAAGTAACAAAATTGCATGATTATTCTGGAATGCAAATAACGAATAAAGCAGAATCTAAACGACTCCACCATTCAACTTAAACTCTAAACTGGGTGGAGAACATCAATAAGCTCCGAATCAATGTTTCATGCTTATAAATTGACAATAATACAACTACTTGAAGCCTTGTAGAAACGTCATTTTATCTCTGAGTTGAGATGACATCACAATCCCCACCCCCTCTACCCAACTAAAACTAAATTTACTGACTTTGGGAAAATAACCGGTAAAGTTTGGAAAGCAGGAAATTTTAGATGTTATGGTAAGATACTTGGTTACTTTCCCATAATCGATAAGTTTGAATAGCCCCATATCAATCAGGTAGATGTAAACCATTTAATAGTTTATTAGTTTACTGGAGTGCATGTACATCCAGCTGACAAGTTTTAAGTAGGACAAAACGCGTGTCCTAGATTCCAAGGCTATCCACAACCAATTAAATGATATTCAGTAATCTAAATGAACTAACGTAAAGATCTGATCTAAGAATTTTGAAAAATTAGGAACCGAGTGACATGATATATGGGATATCTCAGTGTTTAAAGTGAAATAATTCTAACGCATAATCTGGAAGTTTGATTCAAGTCTCTGCAGGAAGCTAACAAAGATTAAAATATACGAGAGATGTTTAAGGAATAGGTTATGTTCGCTACGATTGTTAAACTAATTTATATCACTGACTGATAACCAACTAAGTGAATGCATCAAGAAGCAGCTCGTCAACATAAGAATGTTTTTAAATGAGTAAATCATTCCACAACCGGAAGTCTACCTTGAAGTCACAGAAAATCTAGAAATATATCCAGTATTCAAATTCGTTATGTCTGGAGATGAACTTTTTTTGTGCTACTTTCCTGCAAAAGGAAGTATGCATACTAATGCATCTGAAACTACACTGATGCCCTTAACTTAAACAGTGTCTCGTGACAGAAAGTCATCAAAATTCATTAGGCACATACAGTGAAATAAATAAACACTTACAATATGGGTAGAATCAGCAAACATCCAGGTAGCGTGGAAAGGATTAGTACAGGTGAAATGCGCACCAAATCTTTGGGTACCTGAAATAAATACAATTGGATAAATTAAACGCGCAGGCTAACTTAGAAAATTTTGCTATCTCAGAATATATAATAATTACTTGTACAATCACTTTAGTCATTTAATTTTCGTTACAATTTTTTAAAAAAAATATCTGGAAAGAAAGAGTCTACAGAGTACGATTAAGCTTCACTATGTAATCATTTATCTGTTGTTGCAAACAAGCAGCTAATATTAAGATGTTAGAAACCAATGACAATCTACAGATTAAAAATGTATAAAAGGAACCGATTTTCTTAATTGGATAATTAAAACGTGATAGTTTGTTCAGTTATTTTACACAGTAACCTTATTCTAAAGTGTTCAGGAAAACGAATAAGGGTCAGTCAGTACATTTTTCGAATGTCAATCCTTCAGAAATTGCAAGTAAATTGGAAGATCCAATTAAAGAAAACAATATTGCTTCATATACAATGGCACTTAGTCCAACTACTGAGTAATTAAAAGTGAGTATGGATTTGAATCTTTCATAAGTATCACTCTAAGCGTGAATTACTTGCGATGAGCATTTCATTGAAGAAATATGTCGATAGTAGAGTTATCCTGATTATAATTTTCTTCTTAGTGTGGCTGTATAGTCATTTAATACAGTGCTATTGACAAACCTTATGTTCAGGTTATTTGAAAATGGATTACAAGCGCTGTGGTACTGATTACTTTAAGAACTCTTATGACAGGTGAAAATTTGTAAATTTCAATTCAAAGAATGGGAAGTATGCTTGACTTGCTGCTCGATACTCAAACGGGTCGTGTAAAGTATCCTGCACAGATGATTATTTGCATTATTCAACACACAACAATGTTGTTGTTAATATACCTTAATATAAGATTTTAAAACAGATCAAATAATTAGGTATAAGGATCCCAATCTCCGAAGATGAGTCTGATAGAGATGTAGAGTTTAGAACCACAGATAACGTTTTCACACTCTATATTTCGTTTACTTTCAGAGCAAATAAGTGTAAATTTCTTCTGTTGCTGTATTACTTTGTTTTCTTACAACACCTTTCACATTGCAATGTGTTCAAAATTAATATACCCTTATTTCGTAGGAGATTATCAAGGTAGAACTAGAAGACACGAAAAACACTTCACTCTTCACATAATGGGTATTTAAACGTTAAAAAGAAGACGTTTAACTCTTTCGAATTACATTAAACTAAATACTTTCCTTTACAAATGAACATATTGAAATCATTTTGTTATACCTGACGAAGAACATAAACTTGGTGCCGGCTTAAAGTTGGTAGTAATTCTACAACTGATTGTGAACTGAGAGCAATATAAGTGCATAATTGACCAAGATAACGAACATCAATCATGGTTGAATGAATACCTACAAAAGGAAGAAAGGTAAAGTGTACATAAAATATATATCAATCAATAATGCTACATTCAACTTTTGAACACCTTATTAGCATTACATGACCAACTTAATCGTAGGAAACAGACAGTAAAAACAATAAATCCCTTTGATTAATTTCCACTATGTAATAAGAAGACGGTGGTTACCTAAGAAATGTGATGTATTTGCGCAACACACTTCGAAGAACCTGATCATACATTTACTTGTCAATGTAGTTTACATGAAGGGTGAAAATAAGGTGGGGTAAGGTAAATAAACAGGGTAATGCAGAATTTGGAAAATATATAAGTATATACATGTGCAATGACACATAAACTTATAGGAGTAATCGAACTAAGAAACTGAGAGCAGTGGGACATATCCCTAAATGGCTAAAAAAATAAACACACTGAAATAATACAATAAATACAGGGGGTAGACAGACATCATTCTGTATAGATAAACACATTGTAGAAACGGGTCACAGGATTGACCCAATGCCAGTCTTTAGACCACTGTCAAGACCATATACTAAGGTTCATTGAAGCCTTAGATATGCGAAAGTTCAAACCTGCTTTGTGTATTCAAAGTCTTGTATGATCTTAAGTTATTCACCTTGCTCTCACCCTACCATTCCTCCTTCATTCGACCCAGTGGCTCAATGGTAACGTGCTGGCCAGAGAACCCGGTCTTGGGTTCCATCCCTAGTAGCGGCATGGATGTGCACTTCTGAGGAGCCCCATACTAGGATGAAAAAGCTATCTAATGCTTCCAGATTCCCAATGTTTCTCCAAATGATGTCAGTCCATGATGAATACCAACCTGAAATCAGTAAATAAATCGTCACAGACCTTCAAACTGAATTAACTTAATGCTCATCGGTGACTCGCTTCGAGATGAGATTCCCGAAGTTCCAGTGAGAATTCATGACCAATGGGTCCAACCAAATAGGACAGTTACTCAATAACAGCATTGGATGGAGGTCGCGCTATATCGTGAACTGACAGAAGTAGGAAATATGGATTACTGGATTCTGACCCAAGGGCTCAATGGTAACGAGTTGGCCACGGAACCTTCATATAAAATGTCTTGATAAATAAATGTGTGACCGGATCGTTCGAAATATATTACGCAAATATATCAAATTTCTCAGATAACCACCGTCTTCTTATTACATCATGCAAATGTAATCGTAGTTCCCACAAACGATGAAACAATATGCAGCGGGAATATAACCTAAACTTAGCCCCTACTAAATGACTTTGTAGTAGAATAATGCAATCCAAAGGAGTGTCATAATATTCTGGAACAAAGTGTATTTAAAATAAATATTCCACAAATTACATCCTAAGCGCTGACAAAATTTTATGCGTCAGTATCTGAAGCTTTATATCTAAGAATGAATATATATTCACATAAAGATGTGCCAAAATGCTTTGTTGAAAAAACCTGTATTCTACAGGCATCCAAAACATTGTAGTTTGTTGATGTTTGTAGAAGTCAACCGACAGAACATATTTTCATGATAACTCAGTACCGGCATGAGATATGGCATTATTGTGTAACGACGTAATTTGCCGCATCTCACATCGGTACATCATACTTTGATGAAAAACAGTAAAGAGTCAAATGAAATAGTGGAAAATATTTGCAGCTCAAATCTTATGGAACTCATCAACCTTTGTATGACAACATACTTCCAATTCAACAGCAAGATACACAAACAGATGGAAGGAACTCCAATGGGATCACCGATATCCGGATCAGTTGCAGAAGCAGTGATGCAGAGACTGGAAGCTATCATTCTACCTGTGATCAAACCCAAAAAACTGGGATTCCCTATGTGGACGACACTTTTGTCATCATAAAAAAAGATGATATAGAAAACACTAACAGTTTGATCAACAACGTTTCCAATGACACCAAATCCACATTGGAGAAGGAGTCAAACAACCAACTATCATTCCTGGATGTTTCAATCAGTAGAACAAATACTGGAAAACTGGAAACCCAAGTGTACAGGAAGCCAATGCATACTGATAAAATCCCCAACTACAGAAGCAACAACCCAACAACGCACAAAATTACTTGCATGCAGACTATTCAAAAGAGCGAGAACACACTGCTGTACAATAACTTCACGGAGAAACGAAGAAAATTACTTGATGTCCACCCTAAAGAAGAACAACTACCCAAGAAACTTTATCAGAAGATGCCTATCCCGTGCATCATCAACTACAAAGTCATCGATAGAAATCAATAAACACATCATCCAACCGTACATAAAGAATATATCAGAAATCATGACAAGATTACTGAGAACACTTGAAAGTGGTGTGGCTCATAATCCAACAAATTCCCTCCAAACACTATTGTGCAGACCAAAGGATGCAACAACCAAAGAAGACAAACTGAATATTATTTATAAAAGCAACTGCAATAACTGTAGTCAACACTACATTCGACAAAGTGGTCGCCCTCTTCGCCTTCGTCTACATGAACACCAATTGGCTACTAAACATCACGACATTTCACCACTCATTTCAATGCACATGGACAACAACTATGGACATGATTCGAATTTTGATAATGCAGAAATCTTTGACAAAGAGAGGAAATACAGAGAATATCAGAGAATTCCTAGAAGCTTGTCATTCAGGTCAGTCAGCAATCAACAGATGTATGGACATAGACCCAACCAATCAACCAATGAGAATGATAAACGACACTAAGGTCAGGGATCAAGCAGAGGAACAGCCAACAGGAAAATCTATACAGTGAATGACACAACAATCAAAGGAAACAACCAGTCAGGGACCAATTCGTAAAGGCAAGCTAGTAAATCACTCACAGAGAGATATTGACAGTTCACTTCATACTGAAGTTAGTGCTGATGATGTCATCTAGAAAGACGATGAAAGTACACGATTAAACAACCCAGCTTAGAGAAGACAACACAACCAGAGTTAAATGATATAAAGCTAACCTTTTTTGAATAATGTATAAGCACGAAATGATGGAGCATGTTTATCTGCCCATTTCTTTTCCAATAGTGAGACTAAGTTTGTGTACGCCTTCACCATAGTTTGAATAATATACTTTTTAGACATTTTTATGATAGTTATTAGTCAATATCCTCCCATTTATAAAACCAGTCGGTTTTTCAATTAAAGAACACTGACAAATGAAGCAGTTTGTAAAAATAGATCTAAAAAATAAGTGGAAATAAAAAACAAATAATAGTGAACACTCAAGGAAAACAATCAGTCTCTGACGTGTAACTTTAGAGCTAGTGTTAAAGAATACCATTCAAACTAATTAATGATCAATGCATGGTGAAAGTAAATGTTAAAAACAGTACATTCTATAGTGAGTATCTTCCAAGTAAAGGTTAAACTTCTGAAGTTATATGGTATTTTATGAGAACAACACGGTAGAGAAATCCCAAATCACATACCACAAGTTCCATATTAGTTTTGTTACACAGCATACAGTGATACAGTATTATCTACTTGATGATGTTTAGAGCTAGAAACATTGGCAAAGATACTAAAAATCGACTGTGCAAAGCATTGAGGAAGACTTTTTCCCTCTACCTTTGGACTGTTTTCTCCAGTCAACGACTCATTTGACAGGATAAACTACCGCTTTGGGCCACCTACATGAGTGTTTACCAATTCACCTACTTTTGTGGAGCTGGTTACATAGGCTATACAAAGCGTATTCTATCCAAACGCATCTCCGAACACTTACTTGCATGGGTGGTTAAAAGAGTGTAAAGTCGTCAACAGCTCGATTCTTGAGCATTTGGTTATATCTGGTCACTGTGCTCCACATTTCGAAGCGAGTGCTTATTCGACACCTCAATACAGCAGAAGCTCTGGCAATTCAGCACTACAAGCCTGCTCTTTGTGTCTAAAAAAGACACATTCAATCTCTAATTTTGCCTTGGTCGTAATCCCCTTAAGATAGTTTATTAAGCTTTGTTTGTATATTATAATCCTGTAAGCAATTCTTGATGACCTTCTAGTCATTATCACATTGTGACCTTATTCACTCTTTTTGATAACCTTGTGTTGATACATTTCCCATTGATGGATATATATTTTTTGATGTAGAGCTTTCGACAACGGGTTCGCCGAAAAGAAAGTTCTCTTCGCTGAATCTTCTTTTGCTATTATCTGGTGAGACTAATATGCAATTATATTTTATCACAGTGCCCAAGTTTTATATTTATGCACATACAATAAACCCCAGGTTCCTATTACCTAATGAGGACTACAACCACATACATATTATACAGAGCGACTACCAAGTATTTCATCGACTATTGCCACACCTGTCCAAACTTAAGTGGTTTTTGTTTTGACTTCTGTTACAACCAGCACTGTGTATCAAAATAAACAGTATATCCACGCATGTCACTCATCCTCAGCTATCTGATAAGGTATAGGGTTATAAATGTAACAGTTGGCCTACCTCTCTTACCTAAAAGTTTTGAAAACAAACTTGGATACAGTAATTATTGTGATCACTATGTGTATAGCATGCAGACTACTCAAACAACAAGTGTTTGTGTGTATCCATTATACACCGTATCTAACCACAAAGACATTAAGCAACTACAATTGAGATCTATCCGAATAGAAAATTAAAAATCTTATCTATAATCTGGCCTTTCAATCTGATAACTATATTCCCAACATGCTGATTATTTTCCCATATTCTAAAACGTAATCAGACTAGATACAACATACAGTTCACTCAGTTTTAAACGTTAAACTGACTCAAACTGGAATGATGAAATGATCATAGTTCAAGTTAGTATCTGTTGTGGAACGACATCAGTTGGAGAACCATTGAAAGTGAGAGGACTAGACAGTTGTTTCATCCTATTCTAGGAGTGCTAAGCAGTGCGCACTCATAACCTTACCAGGGATCAAACCCAAGAACTCCAGGTTCCACAGCGAGCATATTACCGTCGAGCTAATTGTCCACATTTTTTAATATTGTTTACTTTAAATAAATGAGATGGCACTCTCAATGTGAAAATCCAGTGTGAATGTTAAAGTCATACAACCGACATCATTGTTGATCAACGGGGGACCTTGAACACGTTCTAAGCTAAGCTCTAACAGTGTTTTTCTGAACGACTAGAAATCCTTAAAAGTCACTATCGATAGATATTTTAGTTTGAATGTCCAGTGTAGATGCTTTATAGTACTAGGACGACAATACACCTGTAAGCTCTGGTGATATCGTGGCATTTACACTAAAACAAACTGGATAAACGTATTCCTTCCAGCTATAAGTGAGTGTGAGTGGTGAAAAAGCATTGTTTTTATTTACTTCTATTATGTTCTTTTTCCAAATATATGCTTTTTAATTTGACTTTTTTTAAGTGATTCTACGTGCACAAAAATGTACTCAAATGAAGATACTCTGCAGAAACATTCATTAATTTTCCCGCAAAACTTCCAGTTTTCAATCACAGCATATTCAAAATCTATTATAATACAATTCCAATTTAGTATTTTAATGAAAAAACTGTACTGGAAGAACAAATAAAACAAAATTGACCTCAAGACCTTCATATTTCACGGCGAACACGTTAACTACTCAACCACTGAGTCGGGATTCAATGATTCACAGTTTAAATTTCAAGGTAGCAAATCCCCATTAACCTCAGATCACATTACTGTATAGTGTCCAACTAGCAATATGCTGGATATCCCGAAGTTCTAATGAGTTGTGATGTGTGTGGTCAACCAGCTTGAAGTGAAGCGGATCTCAGTTGAAGACCTTGGTTGATAGTCGCACTATATCACGAACTGACAGAAGTAAGAAACTGTGGACCATCGAATTCTAACTCAGGGGCCGAATAGTTAACATGTTCGCCGTGAAACTTGAAGGTCTTGAGTTCGACCCCTAGCCAGGTCGTGTGTGCCTACTACTACTACTGAAAACTGTCAAACTAAACCGATAATCAGCCACAGTTACATGCAACATAATGAAATGATCAATAACACAGAGCTTTGAAAATCATTGGTAGTTATCTAACCCCTTGTTTCTAAATGAGAAAATTTAACAACAAGAGATAGCTGTAATTTATACTGACAATAAAATGTCACAAAATACTTCCACAACCTACTCCACTTTACAAGTGAAAATAAACATTTCATATCTGGATAAGCACCGATTGTTAATATCTCCAACCTGATAGTCCAAAACAAAAACTCGGAATACGTTTTAACTGCGTATCTCTCATTTTGATAAACACCGAAATCTACTATATACGTGATAAGAGTAATAATCTAGATGACTGATTTTCATGTAAATGAAGTGAAACGCATGCATGATTTTCTGAATAAAAATAGTACTGGCTCCCAGTAAAGGTTAGTTTAAGATGAATTAATCTCCCACAGTAGGATATACTGATATATGTAACTCTATTGAAAGTTGGACATCAGTAAAGTCAGACTAAAATGGGTTTAAGTTTGTAAAAATATACTTCTAAAACAATGCTGAAACGTATTCTATATCAATGTATGGTTTAAAATTAGGAAAAAATCCATAGTCTACGTAATATATAAGTCCTACTAACATAAACGAGCAACTGGAAAATGACTACCGAATATTACTATCTACTTTCCATGATTGGTTCGTGAAATTATTTAATGTTGATGCAAGTCATATAGTTCAACCGGTTGTGTTCCTCTGGATGTTACGAATAAACGACTCGAGGTTGAAGGTAAGAGAAATTTGAAATCGAAGAGATATATCTACTATTTTCTACATTTATCTGTTACCCTTTGGATCCATTTTCTTTTTGTTCGATTTACTAATTCTCTAATTCACCTTACATTCTCTGTACGTGTTACCATGAGGCTTCAACATTTGAGTGGACTCACTTCTATTTAAGGTCCTACTCTTTTGTATCTATCACTCTCAACAATAATATATTATGCAGAATTACAAATCCGAATAGCACCACAATCTCATAGAAGGCTACATAGCATACAAAAAAAATGACACTGGTGGATAACAGTTTAATATAAACAACATCCTCCTAATCTTCATAAAATTATGTCTAGATGATATTTACTACACTGAATTTTATCAGATAAACCTACAATTTAGCGGTTAAGTATGCGGATCTCAACATTAGCTAGTTAATCAAACTGAAAAATCATGACAATTTGTACTTCATACCACTGAGTTGGTATATATGTACAGTTTCGTGCATCTAGCTTTTGTCTAACAATATTCATTTGCCGAGATCAAAGAATGTACTGCGAGGCATCGATGAACGGTCTAGTATTTCGATAAATAAGTTCTTAAATAAATTTAATTTTACCAAACTAAAATAAAAACATAATACATCATTTCAATCACATAAAAATAACGACACATGATGAAGTAAATTTATTTAACTGAGGCAATGATATAAAATCAGACAGCTTGAATACTTGAAAGTAAAAATCTGTACAGAAAAATTTCATCTGAATTATGGTATGATAGTTTACATTGATTTTTCTATGATTAACCTTTTACGTTGTTTAGCAGCTCGTTTCTGATGGGATTTACATTTTAAATGAGCTTGCCAAGCATCTATTTGTGTAAATACTTTACCGGAACATATCGAACAAATGAAAGGTGGCTGAGTCCCATCGGGAGCGAAGAGCAACTTGGGTTGTAACAATGGTTCCGCCGATGGACAGCAGTCTTCAGGGCAAATATTAAGTAAACTTTTCAAATGATCTATGTTTTGCAAACTTTCCAAATGAAAACCGTTTGTTTTCATTAGTTCACTATATACCAGTCGAACGGTTGGTGCAACAACGGAATTGTTCCAAATTTCTAAGGATTCAGATTGTAGAAAGTCGGTTACATCTATACGGTACACAGGAATACTGCCTTCCATAGGACGTCGTAGAAACCGATTTCTTATCCAAGAAACCTGAAGGAAAAAGTCAGTAGAAGAAAGCTGGCTGTAATTTATGAAGAAAGCAACTTACAGAACAAAAAAGATAATGAAAGCATACAACTTAAAAGGAAAAAAACTGTAAACTGGTCCAACTTCTCACACATCGCTGAGTAAATTGAAAAAGGAACAATATATTTATGTCAAGTAAATGAAGCATATGAATGAATAAATAAAAATGAGTGCATAAGACGATTAAATCTATAAAAGAGACATTTAGAATCAGTTGCTAGATAACAAAGAATATCGTTTCTTTTGTTGCATGGTCCTGGTCAAATACAACTGACTGGATTTATAATTTAACTATCGAGTGAATCAACATGACACCGCCCATATAAAATCCACATTTGTTTACAGTATTTCAAATGATTCAAACCACAAGTCAGTGAGTGATATGAAAGATCAAAGCAGTATTTTGGTATGTAGCGTCATCCGGCATTAGAAATATTAACACATTAAAAGTAAGCGTCAACCGATCAGTGATTTATCTCTAAAAGAGTAAGACAATGTGAAAAAAAGCCGGGTTAAATGAATTCGTAAGCTATAGTTGTACGAGTCAGCTGGATATTCTACATACTTGATTACATATACCACTAGGTAATACACAAGGACACAGGTAACGTAATCTGGGACATCGATTCAGGTGTAACAATAAATGAATAAACAATTTCATGAGTCAAGTGGAAATGCAAAAGGTAGCAGTGGAAGTTCACATTGAATAAGTTGAAGGTAGATTACACAATCATGAATTTGGATAGTTGTGCAGTCTAAAGAATCATTTGGATTACAGGTGATAATCACATTAACGTTGACACTGGGGTGAGAAGTGAATCGGTTCAGGGTAGATTACATAATTTAGAACAGGATAGTTAGTAATGGCTTGAAACGACATCAAAAGAAAAACAGGTGTGTATTCAGATAAACAGCAGTGATAACAATGTTAATGGTAATAGGAATAAAGTTAATTAAGCGAAACAGATCAGCAACGAATAAGCAACAGTATAATATAGAGGTAACAATTGAAGTCATCGAATCCTGCTTTTTTTCGCATTCGTTGCATGTTTTAAATATGTATCAGAAAACAATTGTTTTCAATTTTTAGGGAAAATACTATCAGTGCACTACATGATCTAGTGACATTGAGGTGTAGGATATCTATACATCACATATACAGAAAATTATTAAAGAGATGTCTGCAGTCGAGAATCGTTTCACAAACGTGCTTTAAATCTTTGAGGAAAGACAGTTTAAGGTCTACAAGACCTAATCTGTATAGCCTGACTGAGTCACATATAAAATCATCAATTTATGTTTGATGATCAGCAAACTGTTAAATGTTCAAAGTGATTTTTCATTCTTAAAATCATTGTGTATATCATTAAAAATGGTAAAAAAAAACAGAATTTTTAAAAAGTCATTATTTCCTAATACTCCAAACGAAATATTCCCAAGCAATCCTTCAGATTATTTTCACAATTTCTCTGGTGTCTCGACTAAAATCCAATCTGAAATATTATCCTTGGGAATTAAATTTTGTATACTTCCAAACAATAAACGATAAATCGAAAGTGAAGCTCAATTTGAAAACCTGTTTGACCAACTTGTGAGTCTTAGTGTTACTTCTTGTGGCAATGAAAGTTGGCTAAAATCCAAGATGGTTGACATTGTATATCACTTTTAAACAACACCTTCTAGTTAAACAAGGAATATTTCTCAATAGCATTAGATGTCTCTACGCAAACTTTGAGGGAAAAAAGATAAAGGTGAATGTGAATGTTTTACTTTAACGAACGAAGAAGATTATGTTAAAAAGATGCACAAAATACTTTCCGACAACTTGAAATTGAATAATAATGTCAAAGAGCAAACTTCGTGCATTGAAACGCAGATGATAAAACAACTAAAATCGCTTCATCAGTCTACGTACATGGACGAAAGTACACTTAAAAGCATTAAACCAATCGGATCACAGACCCCAAAGTTATACGGGGGTATTAAAATACACAAACCAGGAGTGCCTTTAAGACTTACATTGTCAATAGCGAATTCACCCTATCATAAAGTCGCTCAACAGTTATGTGGAATTCTCGAACCAATGAGCAGACATCTGGGAAAACACACCGTTTCTGACTCATTTCAAGTAGTTAGAAACACCACCGATTTAAATAACAGTAGTAAGCATCTTGTCTCGTTTTATATTAGATCTCCGTTCATAAATGTACCAGTTGATGAAACCATAGACTTTTTTGTCGAGATACTGATAATATCCCTATCCCAAGAAACGAGTTGAAGAAGCTTTTAAATTTATGTACCAAGAAAGTTCAGCTCAACGGACAGTTATTCCATCAAACTGATGGGGACCCCTTTTTCTGGTTTATTTCTATTCATTTTGGGAACTGGTAGCTTGAAGTGCTTCATAAATCAAACGGAGCTGTGCCAGCGGTACATGAATGATATCATTATCGTATGTAAATGCAAAATAGGTGCAAAAGCACTACTACAGAGCTTGAATTCATGTCATCCAAATCTGACTTTCGTGACTGAGCATGAAGAAAATGACATGATCAGATTCTTACTTGTCTCATTAGTAAAAAGAATGAGAGTTTATCGAATGGTCCATTTATAGAAAACCTTCATAGACGAAATAGTACCTTCATTTTAATTCAATACAAAATGAACGCAGTCAAAAAGCTGTTTAATAGAGTCAAGAAAATGTTTTAACAGCACAGTAGACTACAAAATAAAAACCTTGTAAAACATGCTATTACAGAATGGATACCCAGAAAACTTTATCAACAGACACACAAAATAGGTAGGAAGCAAAAGCAATAGTGCAGAAGAAGCTAGTTTATATTACCTCACCATTTAAAGGTGACGACTTGCTAGAGGTAGTTAGGCTGAGACTGGAAAAGTCCATCAGAAGGACCCATTATGCTGCCAAGCTCATTCTCCGCAGCACCACCAAACTAGTATTGCAACAATCAGAGGAAGGATAAAGCTCCGACCCTCAGCTCATAAACGCATATAGCAATTCGGATGTATCTGCGGAAGCAAATACATAAGTCGTCAGAAGAGCGTGTCTACCCGAATGATTGAGCACTCACCTGGCTGAAGTGTGCAGAAAAGAAGACACTGAGAAGTTCGGTAACGAAACACCTAGTGAACTATGGGCACTATATTGATACCTGTAAGTCCTTTGAGATTATCAGTGGATAGAAGAATACGAAGTTGCTTCCAATTGCAGAAGCTTAGGTAATTCGAACTGCCAGACCGAACCCCTGCGTTCATAGGGAAATGGTAGTTAGCTTGAATCTATCATGTTAGTAATCCCAATTTTATCTAATCATATCCACTCACCTTTCTTTTTACGCTTCGTCTTCAATTATTACCCTATTTTATACTTTCGGTTGTCTGTTCCTGATCTGTTTCGCCTAATCAACCTTATTTCTATTACTATTACAATTGTTATCATTATTATCTCAAAACACACCTAGTATTCTTTTGATGTCGTTTTAAGCTATTACTAACCACGCGGTTCATAACTGATTGTGTAATCTAGCTTCTGCTTATTCGATGTGAACATCCACTGTAGTACTACTTGACCTACGAAACTTCATTTCTAAAGTGTTACACCTAAATCGATGTCTCATATTACGTTATTTGTGCATATATATGTGTATTCTTTTGCATTACATAGTGGTACACGTAATCAAGTATGTAGAATATCCAGCTGACTCGTACTGCTGGAACTTATAAATTCATTAAGCCCTGCTTCTTTTACATTCATCGTTTGTTTTAAGCTTGAGATGTAACAAAAACACTATTTCCTAGAACTTTTTCGAAGTACGGAAATCGAAAAGAATCTACTCACTTGGCGACGAGCGTACTGCCGAGTAGATAATTTAACATTCTTCACTGCTTCAGTTAACAAAGGTATTGCTTCTGGACTATCACGCTCACTTGGCAGTAAAGCTAAGTAGTCTGAAAATTCCTTGAATCCAATACTCCGAAGTAAGCCACGACGTACCATGGGATCTGAAATAGCCTCCAACTCTTCGGAAAATAAACTCCTCAATTTTTCCACTCGATTTTTTTTGACATCATCTGATTTCATTTTAAAAGGAGACCAGAAAACCATAGATAAACTGATATTCTTACGAAAATAAGATGCTAAATTCTATACGATGCTTAATTAACCGTCAAAAAACGGCTGTAACGAACTAACGAAAGTGATAGGTACTTCTGCCTTCTCGACAGATGAAGACCTATCAACTATTCAGAGACCAAACTGATTCATGAATATATTTAGACAGAAGTGGACTCAAACAGGCAAATCGTGAAACCAAGTGCGACAACGCCTCAGTTCACGTGAACACATTTCACAACTGCCTAAGGAAACTTAACAAGAGTAAGGAGGTAGTTAAACAAACAGAAATTAAGAGAGAATGAATAAATGAAAATTATCCAGATAAAAATGATTTAAACTGCTCTACTGCCTTCCATTTTTAATGATATCACTAAAAAACTTCTACTGCAGTTTTTTGTCTCGAGGACAATAACCAGCTGAATGAAACTTTAGTATCCAGTTCAAACTTACAGTAATTGCCCTATCGAACCTGTACCACTTTTTTTATCTCTTTCTGTGTCAAATTCAACAGTCAAAAACTAAAGTCCCTCCGAAACTTCTTATAACATGTAATAAACAATTTTTCCCACAAAAATAACATCAGGAGTTACTAGTAATAAGAATCAAGCACAATCAACTGAAAGATCAAGACCATGTCATGAGAACCTAAATCACTTTCAACTTGAAACCCGTAATACACTAGTTATTAAAGCACCAAATTAATAACTTGGAGATCAACAGATAAGGTGTGCCTTACTGCCTAATGACCGAATGTGCACAAAGTCTCATTTAGATTCTTTCAATTTCTTTTCAATGTACTAAATACAGCTATCTTACATAAACGAGAATTAAGTGATCCTCCTAAACAGAAGTTTACTTTGTTGGATACTATAAATATAAGTACGAGTTGATGATGGATTTAATTTGGTAAGAAATCCAGTCACAATCCAGGAAAAAATTAAAATATAAAAATATAAGTTGATTTATTAGGTATGAAATAGTATTATTTACTGAATTACGTTCCCTATATAGTTTATTGTCCAATTATATCAAGATAACTTAGCAATTTTGAGACATGTTTTACTGAGTTCAAAACCTTTCTTACTTTACAAAATAAGTAGTAGAATTTTCTACTCACCTGGAAAAGGTGCTGAGTCGAATCCGATGTTGATTCGATCAACAGAGATCCGGTTAGCAATCTCACGCTCCATCCTACTAACTTAACTAGTTAGATCAAAACGTAATCCAGTAAGTAATACTGTTTCACTATTTGATACATCTAATAAATCAAATGAAATAGAAAAACTTTCTACCACAGCGTTCACGTTTTATTCTTATACTCTCAGTGAAGTAAATACGCTGATTATTGCAGCCAGAAATTATCACTTTGTAGATTCGTGCATTATTTAAAAGAGAGAGACCAGAAATATGTCAGAATAAACTTTCGTCTTACCACAACCGTTAGTGGTCTCAATCTCATTACACTTAGATGCTGAAAATGCATTGACAGGCTTCATTTCCATAAGGAAATCGTCCAATTCACTGATGAGTCCGGAGGCTAACATCATGTCGACTCGCTTATTCAGGTGGGTATTTAGAACATCACGAGAACAGTCTAACCATAATATGAGAGATTGTCCAGGATATCGCGGTTTAACAGACCGATTCAGCAGGTGCTTCTCTGAATCCACGTCCTCATTATTTTTCACAGATTCAACTTGTTGTTCCGTTTGGTAGATATCTGACAGGACATCGAGAAGAGCCTTCCTAACTTTACGAACATTATTCGGATGTAACTGTGCAGCTAGACTGGGTTTTAAAGCACTCAAAAGATCATAAGACTCCTTTGCATTGCTAAACGAAACTTCGCTAAAACAGTAGGAAGAAAAAGAAAGCGAAAACAGTTTATTCAATGAATCGAACAGTTTTAAATGAAAAGCCTCAGTGTTGAATACCGTTAAGAAGCATCAATAATGAAGACCCTATGTTTCATTTGAAAGCAGAATGGTTATCATTTAACAACTCTAACATACAAATCCGGTTCAGTTATTTTAACTGAGAAACTGGAGCAAGTGGGCAGTGATTCATTGTAAAATGCATCTCAATATTGAATGGAAAGAAAGAAATGAAGTTCCAAAAACGTAGATAAATAACACATCTGAACCACTTAGAAGTATCTTATGACTCAAGCTACTTATCAACTGCTACCGAGTGTTATTTAGATCTTGAAAACATTTTGATGGTGTACACGGACATACACACTTATTACTGTTACTTTTTAATCAGCTTTTTGATTTTCAAGTGGAAAAACTCTACAAGCCATTGTGGAATTTAACTAGTTGTACAGATGTCACTCTATAGTCACTAGCAAACCACAGTCAAGTCATAAAATAAATAAGAGGTAGATAATGCGACACAACTAGACTAAAACCTAAAACCCAGAAGTTGTACTTCCCACCACTTATCAGTAATGTGCATTTGAGACGTCAGACGAACTCACATTTTCTCTGTGCTTAAAATCCAACCAGTTCAGTGTTGAAGTTGAGGATGTTTATAATGGAGTATTTGTGCTACAAAAAAATTAGAATGATGCCTGGTGCTTCTAACTCACAATATACAGAATACAGCATAATGAGATACAGAAACACAGCCTTCTGGTTACATCGATTCATGCTCTCTGCTTAGAAAGTGCAGCTGTGACTTAAGGAGATAACTATCAACCACCGGGTTATGGGTTTGAGCCGCTGTCCACCTACCAAGGTTTGGGCAGTCTGGTAGTATCACTAACCCTCACACAATAGGTGTGACTCTGCACGGATGTGCACAAGATGGTTAAGTGTATTTCGTTCTCTGGTCAGAAATAAAAAATAAGAGTAAAAATTTGCATATCTGTTCGTTTTTATTTAGTCAATTTAAACAAATACTTATTTATCATCTGTAGTAATGGCAAAAATCGTGACAAAATACAACAGAGAGAACGTACAATAACAGAGTGCATTGCGAGGTCTCTCAATGTAATTAAAAAATAAGTACATTAAGAAATACTAACGATTTTCATGAATTAAAAATTATTGCAAAACGTCGAGTTAGCGGGTTTTCGGATACAGCAGTAAGTCAGTTAAATAACAATTCATCAATGGTATGGATATAAAACAACTAGATTTATATGAAGACCAAATTCACTATAGATTACAGTACCTATTAAGTTTCTCTGCTGTATGAGAAGTAGTACGTTTCGATGACAAAAAGTCTTGCCACAGAACTGCCTCTAAGTAATAATGCGTCCCACCGGCAAGGATAGCCAACTTTTTCTTGACACTTCTTACATCCTCAATTAACGGTAAGCAAATGTCTCGATAAGAGTGCACATCATATTTATGCGCATCTTCAGGAGGAAAGATGCCTATAAGATGATGGGGAATGCCCAAACACTCAGCAGGTGATACCTGGAATAAAAATCAGATAAGTACGTTAAGCAGTTAGATTTTCTTTGAAATGACATACGGACAAAATCAACAAATAACCTCGTACTCAAGTGAATCGGTTCAAGATGCCATACAGCAGCATTCAAAGAACATACATTTACGCCATTGTGATCGATTTTTAACCATGTCACTAAGCTCCTACCACCGATTCCCATTAACTCAAAGACAGTCAGAGACTTCATTGACTGCTCTCATGTGTTAGTTTGGCCACCCTTAACCATCCTCTACCTAAATCCTACTCCGGCTAAAAATTGTACGCTAACATGATTTTCTGCTGGTAACAAACTTAATGTGGCACAAATTCCCCTTCAGGAACTTGAGGAGTAAGAATAGCAAATTGAACAGAATAACATGACAGCTTGATTTCTATCCAACTGCTTACTAATAACTTTTTTAACATGAAATTATGAAAGGAACAAAACACATGATTTCACCAGCAAAAGAATGCTCTACTCAATAGCTTAAGCATCTGCTGATTCTTAAAATGGTTTTTCCTCTCTGTATTCGTTTTTTTAGCTGCTTATCATATATTAAATTATGCTTATATACGTCGAACTTATCAACAGGATAACTTTTTGCTGATGAGGTTGAGTTAGCTAAATTACAGTTGTGACTTTATACTCAAGTTCCCTAAGTCGTACACAGCTGACGAAACAAACACGATATCAAGTGATTCGAAACCTGCTACTCTTGCTCATCGGAAACTTTTGTTGTCGTAGAGTAATATCAGAGATAAAATAATCCCACTGAAATGCTGAAAACTGATTGAACATGAGCAAATTCAAAGAAATATAAAACGCATAACAGTCACTGTAAAAACCTGAATGAATAATTGATAAATGTCCGATTCTCAAAAAATCGTACTTTAAAAATCATTACATCTATATTTAACAAATGTTGATATATAACACAAACAAATCGCTAACCCACTCTAGAAATTACTGATGACGAATGTTACTTACTACTATATTCGCTCTTTATTTCTACAGACTAGTCTGTTTGTGAAGTGATCATAAGGGTTAAAGGAATTTATCGTCCAACTGAGATCATGTTTAAGACAGTACACCACCGCTATTGAAAAGATTACCAAGGGATAAATATGCGATTACAAACCACTCTTTCTTAGCAAATGAATACTCAATTAGCTGAATAATTTTAGGTAGCTTGTATGTACATATAGCTACATGTGAAGATAGACTAACCTGTAGATGTTTCAGAAGGTTAACAAAAAACCATTCATGTGGATAAAATATTGAAATAAAGGATATAAATTAGCCAAGCTACGAATTCCATAATACAAGTCAACAGAACAGCCTTGTACACATGGACTAGTTTTGACGAATCGTTATGAATACAATAGTTAGTTAACATTTCCAAAATAATAACTGTATCAGTTACTCTTCACAAGCAACCAACTACTTTTAATTTGTTGCTTGTATTACCCGTAGTTGAGTGAACTGAATTGATTAGTCTCTATTGGTATATGGGTTCCTACGCAGATCCATTGATATTGCACGTACTTTAAATTTTGATATTGATCAATAGTGACTAGTAGCAGAGTCCAGAAAGCCCATTTAATCTTATTCGGGACTCGTCAGTTGTGTGTCTGCACATTAGTGAGCGATATTGATCCTACTAAGACCCGAACAGTTTTTTTACTTTTTAATAATTATAGATGACGTAAAATCATATGGCAAACTGTTCAATCAATGCCCCAGTGATCATATGAAACGAAACTGAATATCTTTCACTTGTGAATAATCAGTTCGAATAAAGACCAGACACCAATCATGTGATTACCACCTATAACATGCTTCACTACTTGATAGGGATCGAAGTTTACTGATTAGATAGTAAAGCATGATGATTGGGATAAACGAAACTACACTTAAGGTGGGCCGCTGTTGAAAGCTCACTAGTAAAGCGTAGTTTCGGCATAAAGTGAATCCCCACCCAAAACAAAAGCGTTTAACACCGAATCCTGTTTGTAATAATTGCAACGTCTGATCGATGCCAGTGTGACTAAACATCAAACAAGGATTAAGTGTTTCCCAGTTACTCAGCCTGAGAGTTATATTTTTACTTTTCATGATATATGTGTTCAATATTGTACAAAACAATCATCAGTCCGCTTTAAAATACATCACAATCGAAAAATTGAACTGGCAAGCCTACTTTATTTGTTGCGATATTTAAGCCACCATACAACTGCAATGCATCAAAATTGATGACTTCACCATTAAAAACACTGGCAAGACTTATTGCCAATTTCGATTTTCCAGTGCCCGTAGCCCCACAAACAGCTATCACAGGAAGACTGGCAGAAGAACTAGTCAAACAAGACTGCTGAAACATACAAAAGAATAATGACCTGGGAATTAGAAGTATTATCTTTAACAGGGCTTACCATGAACCACTAGCTGAAGCTAATCGACGAAGCATGCAAAGTAGTAGATATCTGAATGCTAATCAAAGTTGTTAAGCGACTACATCCGAGTATCGATATCACGCCTGCATTTAGAGGTAGAAAACTAATCTGTTTAACACACAAGAATAATTCTGTTCACAATAGCGAAAAATTAACGTGGGCATGACATCTAGGTAGCGTGGCTGAAACCAAGCAATAAAACAAAACATTGTCACAACTAGCACTAAATTCAATAGCTTTCCCGGAAGACACAAGTTTGCTTTGCATATGAGAAATGTCAGACTAGGCAGATGTGGCTAACAAGATTTTACAAGCCGATAGCAGAAGATACCAGGTGAATCTGGTAGGATTATAGCCCAGTGGCTCTTATGCATTTCCGATTTTTATTAGCCTCAATTGTACAGAAAATATAGACACCTGTGTTTTATCTACCAAGTTTTCTCTTTGTTATATTACTTCCCTCATATATATATATATATATATATATATATATATATATATATATATAAACCAATGGGTCATGCGTGTGAGCCCAACTCCGCCAGCCAAAATTTAGACAGCCAGGTAATGCCACTAGCTTCCACACAATAGGTGTGGCTTGTATTCTATTGCAAGAATGTGCACAAATTTGCTGAATGTGTCCGCCTATAAGATAGTCTTCCACGAGATCAAAGGTAACTGTATAATTCATTACTCAGTTCCCTTTGCGGATTCCATTACGACATAACAACCCATGTAGACCGGTCATCTGTAAAATAAGGAATGGCTTATTATGTTCGCAAGATGGGACGATTACACTGGTTTTTTTGATTCGATTATTGGTACCCATGTCGATTCAAGTGCAGTATTTCAGATGGGGCTAAGAAAAAGAATCAGAGCCATTTGTGGTTTCCGGAATCAAATGATCTACATCCATTTGACGGAAATATGTACACTAATTAGTTTAACTTCTGAATGGACACTCCTACGGAAGAATACAACCATACTTCACAAAAATTTCTACAGACTGACACTACATAACAACTTTCCAGTCTATAACAAATCTTTAACACCATAAGAATTACTCAAGCTCTTGGAAAGTAATGGGTTGTTCAAAGTCACTCATATGTTCGTCAGCAAAGTCTGATGCTCCCTAAGTTTACACCTTTTGACTCCGAAAACATTTAGATTTGCTAAAATTAAATAGGCCATTCGCATTAAGATACTAAAGTGGAGACAATCAGTAGGTGTTAAGTACCAGGGATTATACTGACAACATTAATCATATTTGTCTTATCTTTCAGGGTATGACACAGCAAACATTTAGGGAGAAACATAACAACAAATACATTGACTCAGCATTGATGAGAATGGATAAAGCTTAGTCTAGGATAGTATACTTTTGTAGTAGCAGTTTTCAAAAGATGTGGCTCAAATAATGACATATCTACGCAACCCAAGTTTTACATCTGGTTAACTTGTGCCAATCGCTTGCTACATAAGCTGAAGGTTTGACACAATGCTGAGACTTTCCTCATCTGGAGTTTGCAGCTCGGCGTCTTAGAAGGGTAGGGACGTCCTTACAGTCACACAGGTAGGGTTTGTTGGCAGTTGCGTGGTAATGGTTTCGTAGATCATCCGGCCTGGAGTCGTTCTACGAAAAGAGAGCAACTTAGGGCCTCTATAAGCTTGGTAGTCCTTCAATGACGCAGCAATGCAAAGCATGCAAACAATCAGTATATGACTCGGCAAGCAATTGTTGGCGTGGAACAAACCTCATTATGTAATACTGAGAGCCCAACTGTAGGTCGAAACATTCGTCTAGACGGTTCGATATGCCAGACGGAAAATTTGTGGTCGAACACCAAGTAGCGACTGATGCATAAGCTGCTATGTCGCTGACCGATGCTAGAATACTATCGTAGTGAGCAGCAGGAAGAAGATGAGGATGGGAACGTGAGTACGAAAATTTCAGGTTTGCTAGTTTTGATAGTTCGAACACTGGAAACTTAAGCAGTGGTAAGCTGTTCCTAATGTGAGTTGTCGCATTTGAGTGCGAGGACTGGTAGCTCACCGTCAATTGCATGCACTCAAACTTGTTTGTTTTTTCGCCACAACGAAGAGTTCAAGCAGACTAGAAATCAAAACTGGGATGAATAAGATTTCTAGTGAGTTGCAAGCCCTGCAAGTGACCTTACCTTCGTTGAGCGCGGTGCTTTTCAGAGTACTCAATACCTTCAATGAGATTATCTGCTAGGTCACTGCTTTTTTGTGACCATTCACCCTTTTACCAGAACTTTTTATCTTCATTGACGATGAATGTGTATTCACTTTATTCTTTTGTATTCGGTATCCAAGCGTTCTCCATGAGCTGAAGAGAATAACTTCAAAACTTCAAACTTTCTTTTGTAGAATAAGTTAACGGTGGTTACTTGGGTTCTACATCTATCTTGCTGAGATAGTTCTAAGTTTGGAATGGTCACGACTATCTCCTTGATTCTGAAAAACCTGAAAGGACAGAGATATGATTATTTACTAATCTGGTCACAAGGTAATATTACTGCATCTGATCTGCGGAAAGCTTCTCGAGTACAGCCCATTGGTACCATAGGACTCCAGGTGTGCGTCTAACCTCCTTTAAAAGTGTCACGAGGTGGTGCTGTAACAACTGCTTGAGAGAGGGAATTCCACAGTTTACAGACTCTAACTGCAAATGAGTTTGTACCTGCTCTCTCGTGTTCTGTTCTTAACAGGCGACCCCTCAAGTAGCGTTTCCGATTGAAGCTTAGGAGGGATCTGTCAGGCCGGAGGGGATTATGGGAGTTGTGGTTCATCATGATCATATCCCCTCTGATCCTCCGGTTTTGTACTGGGTTTAGCTGAAGAGCATCTAAGCGGTCTGAGTACGATTTGTGCCGTAACACAATTACTTTCTTTGTAACTCTTCTCTGTGCCCGTTCTAGGATGGTTGTGTCCTTTCTTAAGTACGAGAATATTACAAGCGCATTTATTAGGTGAGGGCGAATGTACAGAGCATACACTGGTGAAAACGGTGGGAGTCAGACCCCCCAAAGTTCGCCAGAGAAACCTCAGGATTCCATAGGCCCTGTTGGCTGCGAGGCGACAGCAGATTGAGGTCCTAGCGTATCGTTCAGTGTAACTCCCAGATCTTGTCACATGTTAGAGTGACAGATATTTATTTCACCTAGGGAATAGGAACTGGAACTGCTTTTATGTTTGTCAACTATCATAATTCGATACTTCTCCGAGTTGAGAGGAAGCAGGTTTTCTGTAGTCTAATTAAGGATTTTCGTAAGGTCCTCCTGGAAGGTCAAAATATCCGTTTGCTCTTCTAGTTCCCTTCAAATCTTCAGGTCATCGGTATATAATAGAGAACGTGAACTAGGACCCATGATAAGTCATTAATAAAAGCAAGAAACAGAAGTGGGCCCAGTATGGAACCTTGAGGTACACCACTCAACATCGAGAACCAATTAGATAGAGAGGAGCCGACTCTGACTGTAACCCGTTGTAAAGATAATCTCTAAGACAAATTTGTAATTTGCTGAGTAAACTCATGAGCCGAAGTTTCTTACAAGGGATATCGTTATTTACCCTGTCAAAGGCCTTAGAAAGGCCAAGTAAACCAAAGTGAATAGGCTTTTTCTGCTCGACAGAGAGTGTCTAGCCATTCCAAGCTATCAACAAGTTGGAGTTACATGACCTTCCTGGCAGAAAGCCATACTGACAGTCGTGTGAGACTGGGTTCCTAAGCAAGCGATGACAAAATGAGTTATTTATGACTCTCTTAATGACCTTCGCAACTGAAGAGATCAAGGAGATCGTTCCGTAGTTGGAGGCAAGTAGTTTGTCTCCATCTTTGTGAATTGGGACGACAGCAACCCGCTTCCGATCAGAGGGCAACCTGCCTCCTAGAAAAGAGTATTTAAAGAGGTTTGCTAGTGGGGCGCACAGAACTTCAGCGCACCCTTTGAGTACTCTTGGGTGAATCTCAATAATTCCTACAGACTTATTCAAGCTCAGATTCTTTAATATTTCCGTGATTATATAGGGTTCAAACTCTATATGTAATACAGATGTCCGACAGATTCGTGGTTTTACCTCCCAAATGACGGAAGTTGTTCTGAAATTCATGGGCCAGTAGGCTTGCTAATTCGGAGTTAAATGGCGAGCCTCTAAACTAATCGGGTACTGGGATCTAGTGAACTATTACTCTTCTATTTCATCAGCGAGTACAGTGTCTCATGATCCCCCCCAGGGTTCTACATAGTTGTGTCTGGTGGTTTATACTAGCATTTCTGATCCTTATTGTACATCTGTTACGGATATCTTTATAATTTGGCCAGTCAATGGGGCCATTAGTGCGCCTCCACAGATCCCAAGATAAGCCACAAGGGGTAGAAATTGTTGGTTCTTCCTAAAATCAGAGGAGTGTTATCTTTTATCGTCTGGGAGATTGTATTCTTCAATAGATCCTATCTGGCATCAAGATCCAGTAGGTCATCGCAATTTAGGCAAGCGGAACCTTTCAGATCTTGCCGAACCTTCTCAGAATCAGTTCTCCTGTAATCCCCGGCTATTTGGTGACCGGGAGTGGGTGGCTTAGATACAGAAATATTGAAGGGCAACTCGGGCGAATAGGGCTGAAAACATTCAAGTTGGTTGCCCTGGAACACTGATTTGTGAAAATATAATCCAGTCCGGATACCTCAACGTCAAACGTGAAGCGGGTACACTGGCAGACGTGTTCGGTCAAGAAGTTTTCCAGTAATAATTCCCGAAAGTCTTTTAGATCGGTAGACACTTTCTGCGGTAAGAAGTTGAGGAAAGTTGAAATCTCCTATAATGAGGACATGTGGGAAGTTCAGTTCCAGAGCTCGTCTGATGGGTTGTAATAGCACTTTATTTAACGTGGCATCTGCTGCAAGAGGGTCGTATAAGACTCCAACCAAACACTGACCTCCACAGCACTTAATGGTACGCCAGACGACATCTTAAATGTCAATTCTATGCG